ACTTGGATTATCAAAAGGGTCGGAAATGATTCGAGATCACGTTACCGCGACATTTTTCTGACATGACTAACTCACCTTGATTTTGCAACGTAATGACATAGTATTTGCGATTAGTAGCATTTAAGGGAAACAGTTTTTTTTTCAGATAGTAATTTATGTTTTTTTTCGTTAACCCGACTTTGTCGGTTTTTTTCGTCCCACCTAGAGTTGTAAATTGAGCTGGTGAAACTGATGACTATTTAAAATCTGATTTGCTGTTTACTACAATAGCCAATCAGATTTTAGATAGTCACCAGTTTACCAACAACTCTAGCCCCATCCTAGCAATTGATTTGGCTGTCTGCTTAGAAGCTATGATTTAATGACCTATCGGGACGATAGTCATTGCTTATTTGGTTTAGAAAAATTATGGCCTGTCAGAACGACAGTCTTAATTTAAGTTTTGAAGTGGAAGTGGCCTTTCGGGACGATAGTCACGAAGGAATTTTCCCGTATTACACAGCACTAGCCTAGTTTTTGGTTTACACTGCAATCAACGGGTTTTTCTAGACAAATTCTGGTTTTTTTCGCCACACCCGTCAAGTAGTTGTCGTAATAACACTGATGGTGAACAGCAGCGTCATGCGTAGGTTGTCCATTCAAATTCTGCACTGTTAATAGGTGTATCACGAAAGCAGAAGGGAGAATACCCATAGTTATTTTTCATTTGTAACACCCAGACAAATGTATTTTCTAATAGGTTGAGTTTAAAACTCTGTTGCTAATTTAATTATTATAATAGCGCCCATGTGTTACGAGATTTTGAAAAAAAATTTGCTCAAAATAAGGCGCATGCGCGCTTCAAAATAACGCGCATGGGGCGCAAATACGGTAATATAAAATAGTTCTTTTATACCGATCGTACCGAAATCAATAACCGAATCGGCCGAAGAACATTCGGCTAATTTTTATCAGGTGTCCCAGAATTTATGATAATAACTAATATTTCCTGGGCAAACATTTATAAAATTAAAAATCATGGCCTAAAAAAAAAAAAAAAGTCAGTTTAATATGTCCAAATTATACGTACATATTTTTTGTTAATGTTAACGTTAATTCAGTAATTATCAGTTATTGTCTTCGTGTTTAATAATTCGTAAGTCGAATAAGTGTTAAAGATTATGTAATATTTTTATTATCAGATCTGTGGGTACGTACATATCGATTTGTAAAAATATTATCAATAAAAAATTACTAAGTCAGCAAAAATATGTCTCAACTAATTTGCAATCTACGTATCGATATACGAGTTTATATATCGATATATATAAATAAATATATACAGTATAAATATATAAATATATATATATATATATATATACTGTATAAATATTTATATATATATAGAATTAGGAACAGCCTATTTTAGGCGTAAGGAATAACGTAAATGTGCATAAAGTTGCATTGCTGCTATCGTTGCTACAGAAAATATAAAAGGAAATAAGTTCGAAATGGGGCTTTAATGGGTCATTGTACAATTTTCCAATCTTCTTGGCTGTGTCAAAGTTAGATTGGCGTCAGAGTAATCGTAATATGCACATATATCTATATGTGCATATATACGCAAAATATTTTGATCTATATATGTATACATATATATATATATATATATTTCAAAAAATAACTTGGTAACTAACCACAATGAAATCCAAGCTTGAGCTTTACGGGTTTCTGCTATTTATTACTTTCTTATTATCATTAAATTTGACTCAATATTTTTGGTTAGACGGAACTAGCCATCACTCTAGACGTGAATTTAAAAGATATATAATACAAAACACATTATCTAGCATAAAAACTATTGTCTCCGTTGATGCTAATGTCTCTGTCGATGCGTGTGCAAAAATTCACCAAGATTACCTAACGCTGAAGGGGAAAAATAATAGTGACACATATTATGCTGATTATTATGATTTGGAAACTTGTTTTAAAACTTTTAAATTTAATGCTACACGAGCAAACAAGGTAACTTGAATGAATGCTAATAGAATTATTATGATTTTAACGGTTGAAATTTAAGAATGAACACAAAGTTTATTATTAGACGATTAACACGATTAAAGGAATTTTAGAAAATTTTTACCCATTTCTAGACCAAGCTAAAGAACCACCACAACCAGGCTTCACATTTCAATCTATTGACGTAATAAACAAGCTTGAAGAATTGCTTAATAATCAATATAGCACAGATTTTCAATTCATCGTATGTATAAATGTTATTTTTTAAATATCATGTTATTTTTGGAAGAAAATTAATAACGATAGAATTTAATTGAATGAATATTTAAATATTTCTTTTCAAAGACAGATCTACAATTTTTGCTATTCCAACTGAAAGATGGACACCTATTTTTTTTTTCTAACTGTTATAATCAAATATTCACATTTGACCAAGGACTATCTTTATATTCTATTATCAAGCCTGACGGGAAACAGGTAAGCACTTTTTGAAGCTCTTTGATCAATAGGCTGTTAATAATAATTGGATAATTTATTAAAATTTAGGCAATCAAAATATTCAATGATGTAATTGACAGCAGTTTAATTGATTGTGAAGTAGTAAAAATCGACTCTCGCCCAGCTATGGAAGTTCTAATAGAGTTCGCAAATGAAAAAACATTTTCATCCAAAGATCTTGGTGTACGGTTTAATTCGGTGATATCTTCTATTAGCCTTGAAAATAATAATATCAGAGTATCGCCATTAACTCAGCAATTCACTAAAAGTCGTATATTACCTGAAAAACCTAGCATCTCATATGTTTTAACTTGCAACGGATCCACTTCGACAATCGAGCGTTTCTGGAAAATAACATCTGATTTTTATGATAATTTTACAGACTCGAACTCTTATTGGAATAATTTTTGTGCAGCGACAACAACCCCCACTCTATTTGACCCATTTAATGATTTTGGCGATTACAGTAAAACATATGATACCATGTTATCCAAAGCGCAAATAGTTTTTAATGGTACTAGTTCTCGTTTTTACATGCAGAATCAGACCGGAATTGTATTAATTTCCATTTTCGAAACTACTGTTGGTGAACAAGAGCAGATGAAAGATATTTTACAAGGTTTCAATAAACTTAATGAAATGGGAGCAAAAAAGGTATAATCCCAACAAATTTTTACTAAAAGTGATATTTATTCTTAACTGAGCATTCTAAAAAAAAAATTTTTTTTAGATTGTTCTTGATCTGACTGATAATAGTGGTGGCGTAATATCCGTTGCCGAATTTATGAATATTTTACTATTCCCAAACACAAATCCTTCTTTCCCAAGTGATGCAAAAGTCACTAACTTTTCCAAATTAGCAATTCAGACAGCGACTACAGCACAAATATCCGGTAACATCTTTGAGGCTCAACAATATGCAACATTTTCAACTGAACAAGTATTCAATACTTCACAAGATTTTATAGGAAACAACGTATACACACGTGGAACTCAAGTAAGCTATACTAATAAATTCATTCATATTGGAAATAGAGAAATCTTTCGACAAGTTCTTGGGAATAACCCACCAAAATATCCATGGACATCGGAAAATATAATTATTTTAACAAATGGTATTTGTGGATCATCATGTGCTATGATAACTCAACATCTAGCAGAATTACAAGGTGTCGCTACCATAGCAGTTGGAGGATTTGCAGAGACACCTTTATCATTTGCATCATTTCCTGGTGGGCAAGCTTTCAATAGCTACGTATTATTTGGGAATTTAATCGAGTTAGGATTACTTGATAACCCACTTTCACCACAACCCTTTGATATTTATGCTACTCTCGCATTTCCTATATTTGAAATCTATAGCGTTAAAAATGATCAAGAAGTTTTGGAATTTACGTATAAAAAGGCGGATCATAGATTATTTTATGACGAGAAAAGTATCAGAGACCCTAGTTTATTATGGGCACAAGCCTCGTCATTGCTTAATTAGAATAATTAATGGGGTTTGACGAAATTGCATTGAATGAAAAAATTATTAATTCATACATATGAAATGATTTACATTAATGTTAATGAGCTGGAATCACATTGATAACAGAATCGTGTATATACACTTTACCATATTTATTTACTTATTAATATTTTAGTTTTTATTACTTTTTGAATCAAATACGGCCGTACTTTTCTAATCACATTAGATCTAGAAGTTAGTTACAAATTTACATTTTTGTTAAATAAAAAGAATTTTCCAAAGAAAGTATATTTTTATCTATTATGCATAATAAATAAATTTAGCCATCAATGAGAAATAAATTTGATATTTTGTGATACGTGGTACGTACGTACGTGTTGTATATGGTATTTGACGTGGCATTTGACCACCTGATTTACTTTTCAAGTAATTAAAAAAAAAGCCATAAACAATTTATTTGTAACATCGCGAATAAATCAAAAATTAATGCATATTATAGAGATACGTACGTATAAGTTGTTTTAATTTTTAATTATTACGTCTTGATATACTTATTTTTTTTATAAAATTACCATATTTGGTTATTTATTATTTATTTTTTAAAAAACAAAAATTTGCCAGCGTCCTACCTACCGCAAATAAAGCGCACCCAAAAAAACAGCCGAAACCACTAAAACGATAAAGGTTTCCTGTAGTGGGTAATTAATTCAAATTATTCAATGCTTGCTAAAATTTTATGAAACAAAAATAATTTGGCCACCTTCTAATACAAATACACAAATGAAATACACAATGTTACGTAAGAGGAGAGTGAAAATTTGGGTATTTGTATTAGGAACAAGTTACACGAAAATCATTCGGGTTCACACAAGAAATAACGTATACATGGGTCCATCTTACAGCTATTTTCATAATTTCTGGAACACCTGCTCATTACCCGAAATCTTTTTGGTCATTCGGTAAATTACCTAAC